TTTACTACTAAAAGTTTGATGTATGCAGATCTAAAGGAGAAATAAAGGGATTTTGTGAGAAATCAAGTCTTTGAAAAATGTGGTTAACTTTTAATGCCATTCAATTTCTAAATGGTGGGTTTGGATAAAAGACTTTGATTCTCCAAAGTTCTGCGACATCAGGGATGAGAACATTACCTTTTATTTTTTTTAACCTTTGATGTAACAACACTGTATTGTTTTATTTTTGTTTCCACATTTAAAGTTCAACAGATGTTCTCATGAGAAAATTTAAATCTTCTGACGGGTCGGATAATAATTAACCAAATTATTGAGGAATCTGTGATGCTGAGAGTTTCACTCTTCTTTTCAAGCATCCAGCATGCCGAGGTGAGTGAATTTTATTAGCTCACACTTAGCCTCCTTCAATAAAGCATTAGCTAAGGAGCTAACCTGGTATTATACTGAAATCTTCTTTAAATTTATCTTTACTCATTTTGGGGAGAAATAAATAGAGCTAATTTTGACCCACTTTCAAACCCCTTTTCTAATCAGGGTACAAATGAGCATCTTATTCTACATTTATCTAATTTATATTTATATACTTATTTCCCATTACAATGTCAATGTAGCATTAGCAACATTAGCAGTTATCCACAGTTTGTTTACCATCTTTTCCTGGTCTTTTGAATAATACGTAAAAGTTACACAAGCAGAAAGACATTTAGATTGCCGGTGGTTCCCTGATTGGTGGAATCAGGCCTTTGATGGAACAGAGACGGCCTGCTGGTAGCCAGTCGGGCTAATGCTAGTACTGTTCTAGGATCCAATCTTGTTAAAACACGTTTTGACAACTCTTTAAATCAGAGTAATTATAAGGTCATTGCTACCTAAATGGGACCTAATTGGTGGGAGTGCTGTTGCAGTCATTGCCATATGCGGTATACTTGACATGTAAGAGCTGTGGCCCTCATGCCACAGAATGCATCAACAAGCCCAAAATAACACATGGACTCCTGTTTCACCTGGTGGCCAGATGATGTATGCAACAGTATGAAATGCTGAGGAAGGTGTTGCTGGAGAGTTCTGGATCTAAAGCTGCAGACCTGCCTGCACCGTTAAAACAAATAGCAGATCAACAATAATACAAACATGCTTACATCCACAGCCTGTTGTTTTTTCCTCCCAATCAACCTGTGCTCAGTGTAGACCATCGGCGTCGCCGGACCCCATTTACTAGGGCACGTGCCCCAGTATAAATGAGCTGTGCCCCAGTATAAATCTCATGAATATTTGCAACAGTAATACATTTTTTAATTAATAAATTACGATAATTTCAACGGGAGGAGACGTATATTTCTACTCAAAATTGAGGATGTATTAGCGCCCCCACGTCAGCGCATGTCACTGCATGAACTGCAGGTAAACTAACGCGCTGCTCTCAACTGAGTTGGATGGGACACTGTGCGGCCGCGACGCATTTTTAGTTCTGGTAACGTTTCTTACCTGTCAATTTTATTATTTTCCCAGTGAAACCACATGATTTAAAGGCTACTAACTGAAAATTACTGCAT